AAAATTTTGTTCCAGTAAGTTGCTAACTCAGGAGCCACGGAAGCTAGAAAGCTGAAATTTTAAGGGTATGTTTTCTGACAGTTCTGGCGGCCAGTCTTAATTTGTTTAGCTAGAAGCATTTGCCGAAAAAACGGTGCCGGTAGCAACAAAAACTGCGGGGAACCATGCAAAAAACGCATCTTCGTGCGTTGGCCAATTATTTTTCCGGAAAAAACGAAGGATAACGGAGAAGTGAACAGCAAGACCATCAGCAAGTCCATCACCGCATGGAACAGCTTCGCTCACAGCGATCTTGGAAAGGCCAGTAGTTGATTCGATTTTACGATGTTGTGGTCGAGCGACAACTTAGAAAAAAAGATTTGGCAGTACGAAAACGCTCATGCGCCTTCTACATCTGGGTTTATCACTGAACAGCAAAAACTCATGTTTCTGCACTCTCGAAGAAGCGATGCAGCTGGAGTTGCATCGTTAGCCACACAAATTCGTCATTTCATAGCGGAAATACAGTGTAAGAATGTTACAACTAGGAACAAGAAGAGATATTTTATTTCCGATAGTAACCTCTGTGATTAAAACAAACTGTGGTTAAAACAATGATTAAAAAGCAAACTCTGATCCGAGCGACAGAAAAAAAAAATATCAATGACAGTAAGCAAAAAAAAAAAGCACATATGGTAGTCAAAAATAAAAAGCAAATCATTGGTAGTAAAAAATAAAAAGCACATCACTGAAAGTGGAAGAAAAAAATCTTATGAATAAATCAAAGGGTGAGGCAATAGCGAAAACAAAACACTCGAGAAAAGTACCGCATTTTCGTCAGTGGATGAGGGACATACGAAGTGGAAGCATGTTCTTAAACAAAATACTGTAAAAAAAAGAAAAAAGCAGATAATTTCTCAATGAATGCACGTCAAAAAAGCTCTTGCGCATAAACATTCATCCATTTTCTGGATTTCCGAGAAGCCTTATGATCTAAATGATGCACACACACGCACACGCGCACGCACGCACAAACACACACACG